CAGGAAAGGAGCTTGGAGAAGGGCTGCAGGGGGCTGTTTGGTGTTGGTTTTGATGATTTTATCTGTGATGTGCTGTGACTTCAGAAAAAAGGAAGAATGCTAATACAGTAAAGGTAAGGAGTATTTTTATTTGCCCTTAGGTCATAATTCTCCTTTAAGTTATCCATAGACCTATACCAACTTTTGTTGTATCTGTCAATGATTATCTTGTATATGAATGACAGTAGAAACCGCTGACCATCATTCCTTTCACCAACCACCATTGTTTTCCCCTACAATGGTTTTTTTTGTAAGTGTTAGATCGGTCAATGAAAATCACTCAGAATCCCAGTTACTACTGTTGTGCAGCGGGAACCATCTACTGATCCCAGCGGTGGTGTTTCAGCTGTGCGGGACACTAGGCATCCATTACCTCTTTGTTGCCCTGGCTACCTTTGTAGTGGTTCAGATCCCCTGGAATACTTTGAACACAGGGCTCTCAAGGTACTCAACGCTCAAGGGCGGAATCTCAGCACATCGCCCCTTCATGGGAGAGCTCACCTCTGAGAGCAACTTGTACCTGGCCTAACCAGTATTGCCGTGATCTCTCACCACATACACTCCATTACATCGTTACAGCAGCAGTCCAGCCCACCACAAGTTTGCTTCTAGGAGAAACCACCCATCTTAAAGGTTGGGGGAAGAATCAGTCAACATAGAGGGCCTTTTGAACTTTTACTTAAACATCTTCTTATGTACAATATAATACAGGCTTTAGTCATCCCATTCACTGATGATGGTGCATTACTTGTTCAAGCACACAGAAATAGTTACCAATGGATAGCAGAGAGAGGATAAGTCAAGGTGTAGCCCAGAGCCAACGGAGAGGTATTGCCCAGAATCCTGCATTCTACAGGGATGCGAGTAGTCCAAGATAGTGCTGCTCCTGCCCTTCTTTGCTTCCCCCCCCTTAGGTAAAGCTGAAAGATATCCACAGTGACTACATGGTGGTAGGCCTTGTCCTGTGTAAATCACTATGCCAACTGCACACACACCTGGACAGCTCCCTTCTGGGCGGCTCCCCCGCCCAAAACTATATATGTAGCTCTCCCTGGACATAGAGCCCACTCAGGACAGTGCAACATTTAACTCTACAGTGACTCCCTCAGTCACTCACTATTGCCTATGGGGACATCTAGTGGCAGATTGGCAAACTGCAATCCTGTCCACTACCCTACACTACTACCAAACTCTGTCAAATAGATGGCTCTGGACTTTCCAAATATGTAACCCCACAGTGTTTCTTTTGGGTATACTGGGTGAGTTGCAAGGTACCCAACACTATGAGCATCTTATGAGAATTCCCTTCTTTAATGCCAAAAAGGTTATTTTTTATATATAGAATTACTAAAATAGATGTCGTCCACAACTTTTTGATCTTATCTAGGCACTTTGGTTGGCATCTACGTCCATAATTCCTAATGTAATTTATAATACTTATAATCCTCAGAATGAGTGTGCCTTCTATTTATCTACTAATAAGCCATCAAATGGTCTTTTCTTCTTTCATTTAACATTGTATTAGCAAACCCGTGAAAGTAACAAATGATGATCTTTTTGTGTCATTATCAGAAACAACAACAGCAAGATCAATACCGTATATACTCGAGTATAAGCCGACCCGAATATAAGCCGAGGTACCTAATTTTGCCACAAAGAACGGGGAAAAAGTATTGACTCGAGTATAAGCCGACCCGAATATAAGCCGAGGTACCTAATTTTGCCACAAAGAACGGGGAAAAAGTATTGACTCGAGTATAAGCCGACCCGAATATAAGCCGAGGTACCTAATTTTGCCACAAAGAACGGGGAAAAAGTATTGACTCGAGTATAAGCCGACCCGAATATAAGCCGAGGTACCTAATTTTGCCACAAAGAACGGGGAAAAAGTATTGACTCGAGTATAAGCCGACCCGAATATAAGCCGAGGTACCTAATTTTGCCACAAAGAACGGGGAAAAAGTATTGACTCGAGTATAAGCCGACCCGAATATAAGCCGAGGTACCTAATTTTGCCACAAAGAACGGGGAAAAAGTATTGACTCGAGTATAAGCCGACCCGAATATAAGCCGAGGTACCTAATTTTGCCACAAAGAACGGGGAAAAAGTATTGACTCGAGTATAAGCCGACCCGAATATAAGCCGAGGTACCTAATTTTGCCACAAAGAACGGGGAAAAAGTATTGACTCGAGTATAAGCCGACCCGAATATAAGCCGAGGTACCTAATTTTGCCACAAAGAACGGGGAAAAAGTATTGACTCGAGTATAAGCCGACCCGAATATAAGCCGAGGTACCTAATTTTGCCACAAAGAACGGGGAAAAAGTATTGACTCGAGTATAAGCCGACCCGAATATAAGCCGAGGTACCTAATTTTGCCACAAAGAACGGGGAAAAAGTATTGACTCGAGTATAAGCCGACCCGAATATAAGCCGAGGTACCTAATTTTGCCACAAAGAACGGGGAAAAAGTATTGACTCGAGTATAAGCCGACCCGAATATAAGCCGAGGTACCTAATTTTGCCACAAAGAACGGGGAAAAAGTATTGACTCGAGTATAAGCCGAGATTTTCTGCCCATTTTTTTGGGTGAAAAGTGCCCCCCTCGGCTTATACTCGAGTCAATACTTTTTCCCCGTTCTTTGTGGCAAAATTAGGTACCTCGGCTTATATTCGGGTCGGCTTATACTCGAGTATATACGGTAATGGTAGTATTGTTGTAATACATGCAAGATTTAAAATGTAATAAAAAAGCATCTTAAAAAAGAAAAAAAAAAGTGCATGGGCTGAAATGAAAACCATAATAACGTGTGAGAGCTTTGCGCCCCCCAAAGAAAGATCTAGACTAGAAATCACCATTTAATCAACCAACCTATTCTTTAAAGTAGTATATTAAACACATATTAAATACATTTTACCCACTTACAATCATCATGTTTCTGAACAGATGGCTCCAACTTTCTCAGCTCAGTGTCCTTGCACTTCCTGTCCAGTACAAGATCACAAAGGACAGTGCAGACTCCAGCAACTGTATCTACAGACTTAGAGGAGGGAGAAAGGAGTGGGAAGCAGGGAGTAAGAGAGTGGCTTGCCTTGCTGTGTTTGTGAAGACACATACACTGAGTGGCCAGATTATTGTGACCACCCCATTAGTACTTCGTTGGGCCACCTTTTGCCTTCAATACTGCGGCAATTCTTCTTGGCATTGACTCCACGAGATGTTGAAAGGTGATGCAAGGAATCTGACACCATGCCTGATGAATAGCACTGTCCAGTTCTGTGAGATTTGATGGTTGTGGAACCAGCTGCCTGATGACTCTTCCAACTTCGTCCCACAAATGCACAATTGGATTGAGATCTGGTGATTGTGGGGGCCACCTAAGCAAGGCAAATTCTCCCTCATGTTCTTGAAACCACTCCTGCACAATATGAGCACCGTAGCATGGCGCATTGTCTTGTTGGAAGAAGCCATCTTCATTGGGATACGCCATCAACATGATAGGATGAACTTGATCAGCAACGATACTTTGGTATGTTGTGCTATTCAGATGTTGTTCCACACAAATTAAAGGGCCCAAATCATGCCAGGAAAACATGCCCCAAACCATAACACTGCCCCCACCAGCTTGAAGGGTTGTACTCATGCATGTGGGGTGCATGCTTTCATGCTATTCCCGCCAAATTCTCACTCTGCCATCTGCATGATGCAACTGGAAACGTGATTCATCGGACCACATGACTTTTTTCCAATGCTCGACTGTCCAATCCTTGTGTTCCTGTGCGAATTGGAGACGTTTTATCTTGTTAACTGCAGACAGCAAAGGTGTTCGAACAGGCCTTCAGCTTCCATATCCCATACGATGCAGTGTACGGCGAACAGTGCGTTCAGAGATCATTTGAGAGGATCCCTGATTAAGATCTGCAGTCATTTGATGCACTGTTGCCCTTCTGTTGTCTTGTACCAGTCTTGCCACTCTCCGTTCTGCCCTAACATTGACTAGTCGCTGACGGCCACAATTCGCATGTCCAGACCCAGATTTTCGGCTGACAGTCCAGTCTTTAAACACTTTAACAACAGCTGCTCTTGAACATTTAACGAATTCTGCTGTTTTGCTGATACTCGCTCCATGGCTCCGAGCGCCAACAATCATCCCACGTTCAAGGCTGTTAAATTGCGTTGTTTACCCATATCTTCAGAAACAAATTACTTCTACTGCTGTGGTAAACAACCTGCTTCCTGATTTATGATGGTCTGGCCCTCTAGCAGCTTCAGCGCAAAATTATAGCTAATTTGCCTACAAACGTCAGGTGGTCATAATAATCTGGCTACTCAGTGTACAGCTTACTAGCGCACACAGAGTGACTCCATAGCATTCTGCTTGAGAAGGAGTCACTCTAAAACAGGAAGCTAGGACCAGTGCTCAGGGACCAGCTGGTTCTGCATGAAACCAAAACGTTTAAACCTCAAGGAGTAGCATCCATTGTAAGTGATTTCATCAGGATTTAAAATTGCCTAAAATCCTTTATCACTTTAAATAGCATAAAATCTCAGTTTTCAAATACTGCCAGTGTAAGTACCTGAAACCTAGCTTTATATTAACCTCCCCTTGTACACCAGGAATCAAACTAAGAGAGAAACTGTAGTGATGTGTCCTGATTGTCCAGTCAGTAGGTTCGGGGTGATGACATGAATGTAAAAGAGGATAGATTTAAAGCACTCAGGGGCTGGGCCCTCCTTACCATCTTGTCTTGACTTGCATTGTAATTGTAATATCTTCCTTATATTGTAAAGCACTGCACAAACTGTTGGCGCTATGTAAATCCTGTATACTACTACTAATAATAATAATGATAATTTCCTGTTATTGGGTAAAGCGGATCGTTCATCACCCAAACATTTCTTTCATCAGCAAAATCTGTTCCTGTGTTGTCACAATCGGTTCTAATGGAGACTGCAAGAGACCATTTTAACACAAATTACACAAGCATGGTCCACTCATGTCACCATTAGGAAAGCCTTCCTGAGAAATGCCCTGCAGCCAGAGCCGGATCATCCACAAAGCATCCTAGATAGGTGTCCAGGGGCCCTCAGGCAAATATGATCAGGTCATTTAACAACACATAAATGACTTCTTCTATTTGCTAAATATAGGAAAGCTGTCCTTTAGGTTACTGGCATCAGAAAAGTCTCCAACCATGACTGGAGACTCCTTCTCTATCCCACTTCCTCCTACTATCTCGGTACTACTGTAGTTTTGGTACAGAGGATGGCTACTAGGCATGTGCAATTAATTTCTTTCCGAATCAAAATTTGGACGAATTTTCTGAAATTCGGACATTCGGACAAATCCGTATTTCTGAATCCCAATGTGTCCAAATCCGCATTTCTGTTTCTGAATTTCGGATCCCGTCCAAATTTCGTTCAAAAACTAAACTGAATCGGACATGTGACTTTTCTGGCCAATCAGATGTGTTTTTTGGCTTAATGCATCCGAATGTGTCTGAACACAAATTTTCATTACGGCAACATGGGAGCCATTAGCAATATATACATATAATTACTAAAGGTGAGGCTCCTAGACCCCAATGGCTTCTGGGATCCGAATCTCCAAGTTGCATTCAGGAGCTCCCAAATGCCATTCGGGTCTGGGAGCCTCAGCTTTAGTAATATATGTATATGTCTGAAATACCCAAATGGCATTCGGGATCCGAATTTCCAAATTGCATTTGGGAGCTCCCGTATGCCATTCGGGTCTAGGTGATTCAGCTTTAGTATTAATATCTATATATGGTTTTCTGTGGTATTCTCAACGCATATTTGTAAACTCATCATCCGAATCCGAAACCCAAACCGAATTGAATTTCGGATCCGAATGCTGAAACCCGAAATAACGAAATATCTGAACCAAAACGAATTTTTCCGCAGCTTACATGTCTAATGGCTACACAAACTTCCTGGGCTAATGCTGGCAACTTTATCATACTGGAGAAAAAATAATCCCTTTTAATCACCCCAAGGGCAGTCAGCTTAATTTTCTGGATCAAAATGTTGCTTTGCTAGACTTTAGTGATTATCATTAGGAATGTTATTAGAAATATAATCATCAAGTCTTGTTTTAATCATTATTTTTGCCATTAGTACCTCATGCAGCTAAGTATTCCCACTGATCACTCTTATTTTAAAGAACCCTTTCCAAAACTGACAGAAAAATCTTCTTTCTTCTAATCAAACTCATTATAAGTTTGTCTTTTGTACAGTCTTAGGGATAAAAAAAAAGTGATTAAACCGGCCTTGGATATACAGTATTTGAACATGGTAATGATGTTGCCTCTAAGATGTCTTTTTTTCTTCCAAACTGACTATGTTTTATTAATTTAGTTGCCTGCTTCTGAACCCTTTCCAATTGTATTCCATTAGATGTGTAAAGGACAATGAAAGGACCATGTCTCAGTTGCATGGCCTTACATTTTTCCAACATTTAAATTTAATTTGCCATTTAACTGTCCATTATATCATTTTGGCAAGATCTATGCTACTATCTTTCTGAATTGTAATAACTCTTTATGACTCTTTTGTCTTCAGCAAGAATGTCAACACTACTATCAATTTCATTCACAAGATTATTAATAAATTCAAAGGAATTGGGCCCCATATCTTGTGTTACACCACTGCTGGCATTAACCCAGTTTTAATATGTTCAATTTACTCTTTGTATTCTTTCTTTTAATCTGTTCTTTACCACTTATAAACAGCCACAGCTTCTGTACAAGGCTGATGTGAAGAACAGAGGCAAAATCCAAATCCATTACATTAATAGCATTTCCATCATTAAGATTTTATTTTACTTTCTCATGTTTGTTAGACACTTTAATAAATTCATGCTTTAATAAACCTACAGTGCATTTGTTGGTTGTTCCTTAGGATACTTTTTAATAATCACATTAGTAGGAAGGATCACAGGCCTGTATTTACCCATCTTAATGGAAACCTGTCAATAAAAAAATATAGAGGCAACCATTGTTGACCTTCACTTCTAAAAATGCTATTTGCCTGGCTATGCTGATCCTTTCTCTTTAAAGTTTGATGATTCAAAAAGTATGCTGAAAGTATGCTGAAAGTATGCTGAAAATTACTTTGGCTTATCCCAGAAAAATGCTGTCCAGCAGGGTATATTATTAGGTGTCCTCGTTGCTGCTTGATGACCTGGAGTGTTACTGTCTCTATGCTATTCAACATGCATCTCATTGCCCATAAGCTGCATGTTTCCCTAGTCTATTGTTACCTGAAAGATGGCATCCTCTGTATGCTTTCTCATAGACATGCCCCCGACTTTAGTAAGTAGCCATAGCCAGTGTGAGGAAGCCTCCTATGTTTTTGGGGCAGGTTAGTATTAAAGAAGAATTATGAGGCAAGTGATTTTCACTCAGCCTCATAATCTGAGCTGACCTGTGACAATTAAACTGTCACAGGTTGGCTTAGTAGATTTGGAACTGAGCGAACACATACCGTCGCTCGCTCACTTCTCGATCTATCCCTGCAGGGATTCCCCCCCTCCCCTGTCCGATCCTCCAACGCTGACTGGCGAAACGGACGGGGAGGGGGCGGGCACAGCTGGCTCAGCCTCTGGATAGACAGAGTCAGCTGTCAATCCCGCAGCTGGGTGGATCCAGACAGTATTGCCAGGATCTGTCCCGGCAGCGGCGTTTCAGTATACAGTGCGCTGTAGCTCGCGGTATACTGAGCTTTGGGTCATGGGAGAACGCTAATTTGTGTTCTCCCGTGACCCTTAGGAGAACTATGTGGAAAAGCCCTGACCCCATAGTTCTCATTTAAGCTCCCTGTAAGTTACCCAGTAGTGTTAAAAAAAAAAAGCAGCTTTTGCTGCAATACTAGTTCACACTGAGTGTTTTGTAGCGCTTTTACTGCCCTGACAAATGCTCAAAAAATATGCCCCACAAAATCACATTCATTTCTATAGCTCTGTACACATCTGAGCATTTTGTCACAATAAACAAAACGCCTGTAGCTGGAAAAAGTACATGGGCTTTTTTTTGGCATATTAGAGCTTGTTCTGGCCCAATAAACTCAATAAGAAATGCTTGAAAATGCGTGTAAGAAATGCTTGAAAATGCGTGTTTGCTGTGTTTTTGCGAGTTTGCGAGTTTGCGAGTTTGCTCATTAACATCAGTGAGTTTCAATCTGCTCACAAAAACGCAGGACTGGATTTACTTGTGTAGAAACGCGCAAAAACGCTGTCCCCTAGGTGTGCACACAGCCTAATAACAAAAGGCACTGTTTATAGAACACCTTAGTCACATCTTGCCCTTTTACTACCTTATCAAACTCAATTGATTACATTAAACCAGAAGCATGCAGCTGGCTTTTTTGATCAATGTAAAATGGCAGTGAGCTTGTAAGTGTTTTAAAGAAGAACTCCAGAAAAACAATGTTTTATTAACCCTTGCAGTGGGGCTACCCCTGTTTTGCAAGGGTTAAGTGCTTGTTTGAATTTCCGAAGAACAGAAATGACAAATGAAAGCAAATTCGAATTTCCCTAAACGGAATTTCGGACGAAAATTCGTTAACGGCAATCTGTACGCATTTTTGTTTGTGGACAAATTTTCTTGCAGCAAAGTGACATTGAAAACATTTTTTAATGCCACTTTGCTGCAATGAATCGAACCGGAAACGAACCCGCAACAAAACTTCGTACAGACTACCGTTAACAAATTTAGTCCGAATACGAATCCCAAAACGAATTGACTTTCGGACCTAAAAAACAAAATAACGCATAATCCAAATCAAAACTAAATGAAACAAATTTTGCCGCTGCACATCTCTATAAAGTAGTCACCGCTCCAAACTCGCTCCTGTGATGGACTACAATCTCAATACAAATTATTAAACAAACACACACGGGTATCAGCGAGTCAGCGCTGGATCAGAGACCGGCACCAGCGCTGGAGGGACTCCTGAAAACTACAGGAAAGAAGAAGATGATCGGATCAAGAGGCATCATTTAAGATAAGTCCTTACAATAGCATTGTGGGGGGGGGTCGAATTTAGCCTTTAACCTCCCTGGCGGTATTTCAGAGTGTGGCTTGGTGTTAATTTTCAGTACCAAAAGCGGTAACCCCGAGCCACACTCGGGATTGCGCAAAAGTGTCACTTACTTTGTCCCTGCTGTGTGCGCCCGGCCGATAGTAAATTAGAATCACTTGCAGAATTGAGTGATAGCGATTCGTTGGGAAATTCGTCATCAGACACTGAATGTGACGACAGCGACGATTCTGCTACCGAGCTCAGTAATGTGTGAACTTGGTACTCTATTGACTGTGGTACGGATCAGGCAGCGCCCCAAGAATTCCCATAAGAATTACAGGCCTACAATATAAAACAACAAATTTCCATGAAAAACAATGTACCGCTTTGGCATGCTAAAATCCTGCATAATCATACCGCCAGGGAGGTTAATGTCACTTTAAGGAAAATGTGCCCCCTCTGTAAAACTATCTGCAAAAACCCATGTTGTTGGTCTGCAATATCCCAGAACAAGAGCTGTTAGAATTTAGGAGAAGGTATTTAATGCTTACTACTATTGATTACTTTCTTGCCTTAAACTATTAAACTTGCCAGGTGCTGTTCTAATGGTACTCCAATCAATTTTGGAAATGAGTCTAGAAAACATGCATGGGAGCCTCAGTCTACCTTTCCGCTGGTTTGATTTTCACTCTGATAACATGAAAGTGCCAGACCATCCCACTGTGCAAATTCTTCTCTTTCATCATAACTTAGTAGTCTGGGAACATCTGTTTCCTACCCTCTAATTCCACAAGCTGGGGATTCTCAAAACCGACCACTGGCCTCTACAGCCAAATTATGCCTTTCCTTGATTTCCAGAAATAAATAGCTTGAGTTCTTGTTTCACTCTGCTGCATTGTATATAAGACATTACATGCAGGGAGGTGACATTCTTGGTAAATTGAAGTTGCACAGTACATAATGAAGGGTAAGAGGCTGCAGTCCTGCTTAGAAGCTTTCTGAAAGCCATAGTCTTGTTTGTATAAGTGCTGAGAAAATGAAGTAAAACTTGAATTATAATAAGCGGAGTGAACTTCATTAGGAATTCACTGAATGATTTTGCTTTTCCCTGCAGGCCCTCTCTAAGGAATACGTATATAAATTCATTTTGTTCTAGGACTTTTTAAGTCTTTTGAAATAAATATTACTGGTTTTCTTTGGCTTGATTTACATTCATACCGAGTATGACTGATGTCCACCATTAGAAATCGTGCTGCAGGATTATTGAATGTTTATCGGTTATGATTTGACTCAATATGATTTTTTTTTCAGATGAAAATGACGAACAAATGTTATTCGCCATCTGATCAGGTACAGTGTAAATATTGTTTAATTTTTTTACTATAAACATAGATACTGTAATGATTCAGCTATTGTTGGTAACAAAAAGGTGACTCTAATGCCGGTCATGGATGTTCCCCTTATCACTCCTTTTTTTATTATTTGTACATAGGAGGGACTATAATAGGAAATCCAACATTTTTGAGTTATCACGGAACAGACAAAAAAAGAAAAGATGAATTTGTCTGGAATCTTAAACATTCCCTACACTATTGAAAAAATATATATATTTGCATTACATACACTTTAAGAAAACGTGTACTATAAGCATACATACTGTGTAAGTCCTTATATATTGTGAATTTTAAAACAAAAAACAAAGGGCAGCACAGTGGTTCGACGGTTAGCACTCTTGCCACAATGGTGCCTTGGGGCTGAATCTCAACCAGGACACGATGGGATGTATGTATAAACAATTCACAGAGCAATTTGTCCTGCAAAACTGCACATGTACATTTATTCTGTGCAAATGGAGACAAAAACAAATGTTATTAGCATATTTCCTGGTCAAATTTAATATCAGGAAAATACTGAAATATGGACACTAGATGGAGCTGAGGAGCATAGGAAAGAAGTATTAATTCGCTATGCCCCTCAGCTCTATCCAGTGGCCATAATGTGGGATTTGCCTGATATTACATTTGGCCCAGAAAGAAAATAGCCTAATATTTGTTTTGCCTCTATTTGCACAGAAGACTGTTGTGCAATTTCACAGGACAAATGACTGGAATTGGTAATAAATATAACGCTTTCTGTATGGAGTATGCATATTTTCCACCTGCTTGAGTGAGTTTTCTCTCACACACCAAAGACATGCTAGTGGGTTAATTGGCTCCTGTCTAAATTGGCACTAGTATGGGAGTACAAATTAGTATGTTATTGCATGCTGGTCCCAAGTCTATGCATTTGGGGATGGGTTCAGGAATGACAAAAAAAATCATAATAAACACTGATAAATATAAAGGTAGTAAAAAGTTTGAGTGCCATTATACACTATATTACCAAAAGTATTGGGACGCCTGCCTTTACACACACATGAACTTTAATGGCATCCCAGTCTTAGTCCGTAGGGTTCAATATTGAGTTGGCCCGCCCTTTATAACAGCTTCTACTCTTCTGGGAAGGCATCCACAAGGTTTAGGAGTGTGTCTATGGGAATGTTTGACCATTCTTCCAGAAGTGCATTTGTGAGGTCAGGTACTGATGTTGGATGAGAAGGCCTGGCTCGCAGTCTCCACTCTAATTGATCCCAAAGGTGTTCTATCAGGTTGTGCAGGCCAGTCAAGTTCCTCCACCCCAAACTCGCTCATCTATGTCTTTATGGACCTTGCTTTGTGCACTGGTGCACAGTCATGTTGGAACAAGAAGGGGCCATCCCCAAACTGTTCCCACAAAGTTGGGAGCATGAAATTGTCCAAAATGTCTTGGTATGATGATGCCTTAAGAGTTCCCTTCACTGGAACTAAGTGGCCAAGCCCAACCCCTGAAAAACAACCCCACACCATAATCCTCCCTCCACCAAACTTTACACTTGGCACAATGCAGTCAAGCAAGTACCGTTCTCCTGGCATCTGCCAAACCCAGACATGTCCATCAGATTGTCAGAGAAGTGTGATTCCTCACTCCAGAGAACCCATCTCCACTTCTCTAGAGTCCAGTTGCTGTGTGCTTTACACCAGTGCTCCCCAACCTTTTTATCGCCGTGGACCGGTCAACGTTTGATAATTTTACCATGGCCCGCTGAGGGGGGGACGTTGATTGTTTATATTTTAGATTGTTTTGATTTAATAATTTTAATTTAATTGTATTTAAAAATGCCTTCAAAATAAAATACAGTTACACCAAAAAATGAAAGCGTTGGAATTCTTCACCTATTCCGCCACCGAAAAAATGGGCGAGATTACGTTAAAATGTGTGACCACGTCACTGGTCACACATTCTAACGTAGTCTCAAACTTTGATAGATCACATGCCTACCTGTAATCATTTAATCAGAGAAATAGATTATAATAGGGAACATTACAGTGTAATATTCCCCATTATAATCCATTTGTCTAATTACATAAAATAGCAGTACACAACAGAGAAATAGATTATAATAGGGAACATTACAGTGTAATATTCCCCATTATAATCCACGTCTAATGACATGATGTAAGACACCCCCCCTTCCCCCGCTCAGACTCACCCTTCCAGGAGCAGCAGCCATGTGTCGATGTGTGCACTCACTGCAGGGGGTGGGGCGTGGCGTGTGACACACACACGTCTCCTGTAACTCACCTCCCCTCCCACCGCATGTTACTATAGACGCGGCCGGGAGGGGAGGTGAGTCACAGGACCCGCCCCCTTACTGTGAAGCCCGTTGGCAGTGTGGGGCCCCGGTGTTCGAAGACCGGGACTGTGCACTGCCATATATTGCATGACCGGACCGCACTGAGACTGTGCGGCCCGGTACCATTTGATCCGCGGACCGGTACCGGGGGTTGGGGAACACTGCTTTACACCACTGCATCCGACGTTTTGCATTGCACTTGGTGATGTAAGGCTTGGATGCAATTGCTCAGCCATGGAAACCCATTCCATGAAGCTCTCTACGCACTGTTGTTTTACCAATCTGAAGGCCACATGAAGTTTGGAGGTCTGTAGCTACTGACTCTGCAGACAGTTGGCGACTTCTGCGCACTGTGTGCTTCAGCATGTGCTGACCCCGCTCTGTTATATTACATGACCTACCACTTTGTGGCTGAGTTGCTGTTGTTCCCAGTTGCTTCCACTTTGTTATAATACCACTAACAGGTGACTGCGGAATATTTAGTAGCAAGGACATTTCACGGAACACCTGAATCCAATGATTTGAAGGGGCGTCCCAATACTTTTGGCAATATAGTGTATGCATAAAATGAGTGGAAAATGGGGCTAATAATCAGCATCAAAATAATCAGGATCATCAGTTTTTTTAAACATTTTAAGATAAATGTTTTTTATGGACTTTTGGAATTTTTGACAAACAGCATTTGTGTATATTGCCAACTTATTTTTAGCCTAGACTACCCAGCCTTCCAGATATTCATGGCTTTTACTTAGAATGGAAAGGTGTTGACTTGTAATGTAATGTAGATAGGGAACTCTCTGGTAACTCCTCTAAATGGCAGAGTATTTCTATCAAATGGATTTTAGTCAATACAAATTGTATAACTTTTGCAAACCTTCAAGACCTTGACGTTGATTACATTTGGTTTATTCCATTAAAGGTGTCACATACTGCACATAACAACAAAAGACTTTGTAGAATATCATCCATGGTCCTGTGCAGTCTTTAGGAAACCATCATTCATTCTTCCCATTAGCCTGATTTTCCATGAATGCTTTGGGTTTTCAGGGCTTTATCACTTGAAAAGCATAAATAGTCAGTTACTTGATCTTTTTCTCCTTCTTTTTCCAGTTCCCCGTGATTGATATTCAAATAAAATCATTTCACTTTTAAACTGAACAATAAATTCCAATTTTATACTGCAATGTGATATCATCAGGAGACTCTATATTTACAATAAATACTCATGAGAACATCATTTGAAAGTGTGATTTTAACTCTCCAATTTATTTTCTAACACAAAAATAATAAAATCCACTAAATATAACTTAAAGTAATAAATGGAAAAAAAATAATGAATGAAAAAAAATAATGAATGAAGAAAAAAAGGATTTTTCTTAAGAGGTTTGAGATAAAGTGACACTAAAGTCAGGAGTTCAATCTTAAAAAATGCATTCAAGTACCTTACCTATTATGAAAAATGTAGCTTATTTCTGCATCACTGGGCTGTAGATCCTCAAATCATGAACTCATGCTGACACTGTTCTTCCTTCTGGAGGATGTCTACTTTTGATGCCCATGGTCCTTGTGTATGTCCTTGTGTATGTTTTAAAGTAGCCACCGCTCCCAGCTCGATGTAATACAAGTGTGGTTGTAGTCCATTCATACTAAGAGGGTAATTCATTATAGAGCCAAAGGATCCAGCTGTAGCTGCGGCTGATCCTTCGGCTCACTTCGGCCGCCTATTCACTACAGCCGTACAGCACCCGGAGGCAGGCGAACAGCTCGGCTGAGCCGTAGTCTCAGCGGGAAGTTGGGAGGAGATCAGTGAACTTCTGTTCACCAATTTCCTCTCCATTCTATGGGACCGGGAGTGATGCATATAGCATGACTTCCGGTTCCATAGCTGTCATTGCTTGTCTCCTTAAGCCCAACAATAAGCTATTCGAGTGTGATCTGAACTTCAATAGCTTATTTAGTGTGAAGGTGATACTGGAGGTCTTTTGGACCTATCACTGCCAATATGCTATTACTTGTGGGGCTTTAAAAACAGTTTTAAAAATGATCTTAAATAAGTGTAAAAGGAATTTAAAAGAATGTTTAAAGTCCCCCACTCCTGCGAGCACACGCGTCATCATGTAAACACGCGTCTGATGCGCCTATGTACGAAAAGGTGATTGCGCTACACATGTTGGGTATCACTGCACACACCGGAGTGAAAGCAATAATTCTAGAGCCCATATTTACTTGTATCTCTAAACTGATCACTTTTTGAGGTACTGACTTCTGTTGCTGTTTCATGGATGCACACAATTTTTAACTTGGGCATGTTGGGTGTCTTTTTACTTGTTGTAATCTCATATTTTATATTTGAGAAAAAAATGATTTTATATAGTGTTTTGGGGTACTAAACTTAAAGGGTTTCTAAATCCTCACTTTTTTTGCATACATCTACTGCAAGCAAGCAGTAGACATATGCAAAACTTTTTTTTTTTAAATGCTATAAAAGCGGTTTAAGCTTACCTGTGTCTTCGCCTCTCGCTCCCGTCCGAAAATCTGAAAATTCTTGGGCGGCCGCAAAGCATCTTGGAGTGGGCGCATGCGCAGTTTGGATTTTCGGCCAGGAGACGAGGAGAGACACAAGGTACGTATATGGACG